TCAAGGCTAGAAGAGTTATTTGTCACCAAAGACCTTCGAGTTCGACTACGCTTAGCTCCAAGGCATATCATTTGCAGCATAACTTAAATCGAGAAGGGTTATCTGCCAACCAAAGACCTTCGAGGTCGACTACGCTCAGCTCCAAGGCATATCATTTGCATCATAGCTTAAGTCAAGAAGGGCTATCTGCCAAATACCTTCGAGTTTGACTACGCTCAACTTCGAGGGCACATCATTTACAACATAACTCAAGGCTAGAAGAGTTATATGTCACCAAATACCTTCGAGTTCGACTATGCTCAGCTCCAAGGCATATCATTTGCAGCATAACTTAAATCGAGAAGGGTTATCTGCCAACCAAAGACCTTCGAGTTCGACTACACTCAGCTCCAAGGCATATCATTTGCAGCATAACTTAAGTCGAGAAGGGCTATCTGCCAAAGACCCTCAAGTTCGACTACACTCAGCTTCGAGGGCACATCATTTGCAGTATAACTCAAGGTTAGAAGGGTTATCTGCCAACACAGACATTTGAGTTCGATTACGCTCAGCTCAACGACACATCATTTGCGGTATAGCTCAAGGCTAGAAGAGCTATCTGCCAAAGACCTTCGAGTTCGACTTCTCTCAGCTCCAAGGAACATCATTTACAACATAGCTCAAGGCAAGAAGGGCTATCTGTCAATAAATTTGTCGAGTTCGGTTCCATTCAGCACCTCAATCACACTATTGTCCGGCTGCAATCGAGGTTTTCAAGTCGAGAAGAAGACCTGGGTTAACCGTGCCTTAGTGACAATAAGTCATTTTTCCGGCAACATAGCTTAATTCGAGAAAAGCTATCTGTCAACGAAGACTTTTGAGTTCGATTTCGTTCAACTCAAGGGCTTATCAATAATATGGTGGAGTCAATGAACTATTTCCCAGTTAAATTTTTTTAAACCAAGGTCTTTAAACCGAGAAGAAGATCGAAGTTGACTACCATTTGGCAACCAGAAGCCACTATTTGATTTTGCTACAATTTCAACTTCACAAAGAAGGATATCGTACCTAAAGATTGACCCAACTTCACCACAAAGGAGTCATCAGTAAAACAACAACAACGAAGTCTTCATGACAAGTTTCAGGCTTCATGACGAATTATCTTGGGCTAGAAGACAATCCATGAGCTACTTGCCAAAGTGTTAAGTTTGATTTCAGCTTCACGACGAAGGATATCGTGCTCAGAATTTCCCAATTCAACTCAACCTCGCAACGAGGGAGTCATTTCGTGATTCAATCCGAATGGGTTATGACAAATCAATAATGGCATCGAATATTCAATATGGACGAAATTTGTGTCTTGTAATCTTTGCTCTATTTTTGTTACACAAAAATGTGCAAAGAGGGGCAGCTGTAGACACGTAATTTCGTCCGACCCGAATGAGACCCAACCCGGTAGCATCCAGTCACTGCACGTTTTAGCCGTACCAAACGTCGAGTCATCCTCCACCGGCCAAATCAAAACAAAGCAAATCCCACTCTAACCACTAAGCATAAAATAACAGAGTAAATCCCGGATAATCCAGGATTTAATTTACCACTATATCTAGAGGCAAGCAAGTATAATAAGGACGAAGGAAACCCATAGAGGGGAGGCAAAAAATCAAGCAAATAAATACCAGAGAGATGTACCTGTGAACACTGGAAAATACGGGAACGAGGAAAACTAGAGAAAAGATCAAGGATTCAAACCCAAACAGATTCGAACAGCAAAAAAGAAACCATCAAGAGCAAAAAATCGGAGTGTCGTTCGAACAGTTCCAGGTAAAGTTTGAAATACCTGCCTTGAGAAAAGAAGAATCGAACGAGGCGTGGTGGTGGGCTTCGGCAAAGATATTAAATAGAAACTTAGAACGAAAGCGAGCACTTGCTACTTGAAAACCAAGCCGTGAAACTGACTCCACCTATTGCACAAGAAGAAGAAAAGGTTTGTTTCAAATGTAATCTCTGCACACAGGGGTTTCTTTGTAGCCGTGTATTTGGCCATTTATTTGGAAAATTAGAACGACGTCGTATTATTGGGGAAGGGTTCAGCATTTTGATGTGTGGTATAACTACACCTTAGACCCCTCGCACTTTGCAGCTTTTGTGTAAAACCATTTAAATAGTTTTATTTTCTTTTATTTTGGTCGTAATGTTTTATTGATTTCATTTTTAGTCATTAATTTAACATATGATGTGTGTTTGATGTTATTTGAATTCTGATATGTTATTTGTAAATATTCCATTTTAGCCACTGTCTCATTTAGGTTTAATTATCATTCAGTCCCTGACCCTTATTTTATTATTGTTATTTTTTTAGCTTTTTATTTCATTTCTTTTTTATCCTTTTTTATTGGTTTTCCTATTTTAATATTTTTCTTTTCATTTTTAAACTATTTTTTCGTATTATTTTTATTTTATTTAACATTTTCTTTTATTATTATTATTATATTTTTTACTATTATATTTTCTTTTTTTGTTTTTTATCTTATGTCCTTCAAATTTATTATTTCATTATTTTTGCTTTTGTTTTTATGCATTATTTATTTATTTTTTCCCCATTTGATTTATTATTTTAGATAATTTTATTATTATTTTTATTTAATATTTATTTTTTTATCTAACCTTTTCGACCTTTTTAGAAGATTTCCAACTGATCAAAGATAAGTAATTTGAATCGGGTTTCTAAATTTAAATTTAAACTTTTTAATTTTCGCAATTAAGACAACCGATAAATTAATTGGTACCGAAAGGGCGGTTCAAGGGTGCTAATCCTTCCTTGACGTAACCGACTCCCAAACCTGACGCGTTTCTGGTACAACGCAGATCAGGTAAGAAATAGGGTATCCGATCAACCCATTTGTTTTTAAAATAAATGATCGGTGGCGACTTCAATTCATTTAATCCAAGTCGAAGCCCAAATTCGGGGCCCAAACCGAAAGGCGGTTCCGACACTTATATATTTTTTTTCTTTTTTCCCTAACATTAAACTAAATTTCACCATTCTTCCAAATAATGGGGATGCACTTGACCTTCTAGGGGGCTTAGTGCATCCGCCCTGGTTGCTAACATTGTTAATTTGTAATAAAATGACTACTAATGTCATCGATTTATAATAAAATTGTCATTTCACCGTTATCTTTGTTAAAATTAATTTCGTGGTACCGTTCATATAAAAATGTTAATATTCAATTTTACCTTAAAAATTTGTTGAAACGTCAAATATGTTTTTAAACAATGATTTTATATTTAATTTATACAAAAAAGCTTTTTAATTTTATAGTTTTCTCAAATATTCTATCGTCAAAATTATATTCGAACCACATTCCTTCTAAAATAAAAATACACTATTCGAACCACTTTCCTTATAAAACAAAAATACACTACGTATATAAATGGAGGTTTTTCATTAAATACAAATGCACAAATATTTTTTAAAGTCATGTATTCAATTAATTTTAATTTAAAATATAATACTTTTGAGATGATTTTCATTTTGAAAGGAATGTTGTTAGAATATAATTGAGATGATAAAGTGTTTAAAAAAATTGAAAATTAAATTTTTTTGGGGGATAAATTAGGTACATAATATTTTGATGACTATTTATATTTTAGTAATAGTTTAGTGATAAAATTAAATATTAATATTTTTATTAATGGTGCCATGTCATCAGAGAACGGTGGAGTGATCATTTTGTTATAAATCGTTAATATTAGTGACTAATGTATCACTTTTGAAACTTTATAAAAAATGAAAATTTATTCAAATATTGATGACTATTGATTTTGTTTACCCTTATTATTATTATTTGATTATTGCAATGGTTGAAAAAGATGGTGATAGGGGCAAGTTCTGCCGTACGACAACCTTAATATACGGTTAAGGAAATGTGCTACTGAAAATGCTATTATTTTTTAATATTTTCGGTAAAAAATTTACCTAAAACATTATTTTTTTTATCTAAAACATTAATGTTTTTTAACATTTATGGTAAAGTGCATAATATTAACATTTCCGATAGAAAAAAATTATGTTTTATGTAGCACTTTATCGAATATGTTAACAAACCCGGTAAAGCACCCAATAATAATATTTCATATAAAAATAATAATATTTTAGGTAATTTTTTATCGAAAATATTAAAAAAATAATAACATTTCCGGTAAAATCTTTCTTTAACCATATATTAGACTGCCGCACGTGAGACTTTCCTGGTGATCGGGGCATAGATATTTCCGGATAACATGCATACATTATGATTAAACATTAAAATTGAGTAGACATTAAAATTTATAATTTTTTTATATAATTATTTATTTTATTGATTGTATTTATCTAAATTAAAATCAATTGTTCCTTTGATATTATGATACAATATGTTCTATTATTATAATAATTTAACGTTTCATGTTATATTTATTATGATGCACCTCTCGATCAAGAAAAATCTATATTTTTTTAAAAAATCAATTTCTTTACTATAATATTTTAATGTATTTTCGTAAAATAATCTTTTAAATTAGTTTTCTCAATCACCGTGCGTATGCAAGTTCTTATAAGAATTTGTTATAATCAGATACGAGATTTTGCTGCTAGAATGAGAATTCATGTATTTTTTCTAAATTTTAAAATTTGTAAAAAAATTAAAAAAATATATATGAAATAAATTAAAAATCTAAAATCATATACATCAATATCGAAAATACTTAAATTATCATTCTTTATATGAATCTTAAAATTTTAAAATGTATTATTAACGAAATTTTATTTCGAAGTAAAATGAAAATGTATTAAAAATAAATAAATAACTTCAAAATATATTATTAACGAAATGAGTATTTCAAAGTAATATGAAAAATGTATTGAAAATAAATAAATAAATTTGTAGTATGGTAGTTGGAATATAATTTCGTTACTAAGGGATACACGAAGCGACATTTGCGAGTCTTCATTTCTTTTCTCAAAACAAACACACGTACTCTTTCATTCTACTGCGAAAATTTTGCTGGAATCTTTGTGTTCGTATTATTTCACGGATTTATCTCTGATTTTCGGATAAATTTTTCTTTGATTTTGTGTTATTCTGCTTTTTTTTTAGTTTTGGAGCGGAAATTGGTGCGAGTAATGCAAGAAATCAACTCGATCGAAGGTGGCTGCATATTCGGCGGCAACGGCGGCGGTGGAGGAGGAGGAGGAGATAGAAGGCTACGACTGCACCACCACCACCACAACCAAGCCCTCAAGTGTCCACGTTGCGACTCTCTCAACACAAAATTCTGTTACTACAACAACTACAACCTCTCTCAGCCACGCCATTTCTGCAAGGGCTGCCGTCGTTACTGGACTAAAGGCGGCGTCCTCCGTAACGTCCCTTTCGGCCGTGGTTGCTGCAAGGCCAAGCGCACGAAAAGCAAAACTTCATCCGACGCCACCGCGGCTGCGGCCACTGCTATGCCGCACCCGAAGCAGCAACAACACCGCGATCGAGCTAAAGCGAATTCGTGTTCTAGCAGCGAGAGTTCGAGTCTCACTGTAACAAATTCTAACGTTGCGGTGACAAACAAAAACAGTTATGCCGGTAGCGCAGCGGAGGCGGTGTCGGCAGTAACCTCTCGTGCGAACTTGATAAGCTTGAGCGAGCCTAAGTTTCGCGGAAACCGTAACAATTTAGGGTCCGGGACAGGATTGCTGGAACAAGGATCGGACTGTGGGATATTTTCGGGAATTGGGAGTTTTACGAGCCTGATTACATTATCAAACAATGAAACGACGTCGTTCAGTTTCGACAAGGTATTAAATGGACAGTGGCGGCAGCAACAGCAGCAGCAGGTGGAAGAGCAAAAGATGATGAATATGGTAAGGGAAGAAATCACCGGGGGATTGCTTGATCAGACGGTGCAGGTTGAGCTATCAAATATGTCTAGTAGATCAGAGAATGGATTTGGAGCGTTGGATTGACAAGAGAATGGAGATCAATCGTTGTTTGATCTCCCTAGCGGTGTTGATAAGACATATTGGAGTCAATCTCAGTGGATTGATCAGGATCACCCAACCCTCTTTCTCCCGTAAATTATCTTTCACTCTTCTTTCTTTTGTTTTCTTTGACTACAAATTTGAATGAGTAGAAAGAAAATCAAAGAGAGCCTCAAAGTTTACGGCAGGATTTAACCATTTTCGTTGTTAATTGTGATAATATATATCGTCAAAGTGTGCAATTTATAGAGTTATATATATGGGTTTATGGCTGCTACTGTTTCTTATTTTGTAAATTTTAAATATTTTCCTCCATTCTTATAGTATTGAAGTTTTATTTTGGTGACTTTTTGAACCAGTTTGACTCTTTCTCGTGTTTTCGTCAGCTAATTTCATGTTAGTTCTCTCTCTCTCTCTCTCTCTCTCTCTCTCTTATTATTGAAGAATTTTATTTATTATCTGTGTATGATATGTATATTAGACTATTAGTTTGAGAGAAAATTAGTGTTTCTTTTTTGTTTTCTATTTGATGGGTTTGTTTGTAGGTTTGTTCAAGGTAATAGTGCTACTTATTATCATCATCAGCATCATCATCACTAATCTTAGTGTTAATTAATTAAGTATATTTAGTTTAAATAATATGAGAATAAAAAGGGCAACGCCTTTGGCTTGATTTTGATGGAGAGGAAGGGATAGGACAGGATAGGAAACTGTTGAGGGCATACGAGTACTCCTATAGTCCTTGAATTATTGAAAGATAGAAGTTGTTTTGGTAGGTCCTGGGAGAGTTAGTGACTTGTCCCATGCGTGATCATGACTCTACCATTGGCTGTGATGAGACACCGGAAACAGCCTTAATGCGTAGAACCGAGGGGTAGGTTGACCGTTTCGACCCCCGTCGAGCATAGGGTCAGTTTGTCCTCACAGATGGATCGAGGCGGGACCGGTGGGACGTTTTCAAATTCTCTTATATATTTAGATTTTGTCTGTGTATTTTCTATTAATAATATATTTTCGTCTCTTAAAATTTTATAAATTCACTCTCTAAAATTTTATAATTTCAATCGACATAAAATCTTATGTCCGTACATTTAATTGTCCTTCCCTCTCATTGATACAGTTATTAGAAATTTGAGTAGTTTTGTTATTCAATATGTTCATGATGAGGGTGGATATTGGGTGAAGTGGTCAGGGCATGTGGAGAAGTGATCTCAAGTCTCACTCCACCCACCACCATAACCAGTTTTGTGTTCTCAACTGTGATGAGTTATCCCCCACACCATTTTTGAATGCCCTTTGAGTTTTAAGTAGAGTTTATTATGGGAAAGTGAACTTCCCATGTCACATTGCACATTGTATCTTAATTATAATTAAATGTGTTGTTGATGATTGATGATGAAATGGAATGGATTTGAGTGGTTTCTTTGCATTAAATGTGTGGTTTTGAACCATTGGAGGTGAGGATTTCTGGTGTGGTCCCAAATTGACATCTTTGCAGGACATATGTGTTGAGTTTTGCTCTTTGCCAAAACAATGATAGGGAGATTGCCTTTGGTAAAGAGTCTAAACTTAGGGGTGATTATCATTCATCAACTTGGCTAGGAGGAGTTAGGCCGGACCATCATTGGTCCTGGACCTGCTCCTCTGCTGTCCTTATAGTTTGGCCAAATGTTGCTGCTCATGGAGCCCTGTGGTCTGTCAAATCTTAAAGCTGAAAACCACCCATGCATACTAGATCAGTCTATCGGTTTAGGCATGCATGACTGGTTATAATCTTGTGAGCTGCCGTTTCCAATCTTCCATTTTTTTGTTTTAACCACATGCCCCAACCAGCAGGATATGGACTTCCTTGAGCTGGACCAAAAGGCAGAGATTATCCCCATCGAGTTCCTACCTGACTCGACTCTAGAATAGTCAGAATCCGGGGTTTGTTACTCTTTGAAATCATTGCTTTTTCACAAGGTCATAGAGCGACATTGATGGTTGGGAGCTGGTGGTCATGGACTTTGCCTTGATAGCCAAATGGAAGGATCATTTCAAGATTTCATTGGTAATGGACCATATTGTGATATACAATATACTTTTAATTTTATAGAAATTAACATCATATGTTTTATCATTTAGATTCTATTTAAACTTTTTTCAAGCCGAGTTGAGTTGAAAAATTGTTAATCTATTTTTTAGACATTCGAATTGTAAAAGTTCAACTCGACTCAAACTCGAGATATCAACATCTTAATGCATTTCACTCAATTCAATCTTTACTGGTGCAAATGTGAAACCGTCCTTCCAAATTGCCATCCGTAAATGAGAAGACGATGCTTAAAAATGTCTGAAACTGAAGAGCCAGCGTTGATTTGCTCATCAAAGGCGACAAAAATGACTACATCTTAGCTGTGTAATGCCGTAAGCAGCAAGAGACTTTCAGCCTTAGCTGTGAAGGTCTCTGTCTATGTGCATTTCCGTCGAAATCGAGGACGACTGCTGCCCGTTTTCTTAAGCCACCTATGGACTCAAAAGCACCATTGATGAAAACCTGATTACCTAGTACAAGAGTGTCCATATCCGATACATATTCGGACATGAGCATTATGGAGTATGATTCTCCTACTACCTACATATTCACTCGGCAGAAACTGGGTCATCAATCCCTTGACAAAAATCAAGGACATTACTGATTCTCTGGTAAAACTTTCATAAAACAATACAAATCTGGAACAGCAGATGATTTGTATAAATTTGAACTCGTGTCATTGACAGTATAAAGAGACAAAAGACAATCTTTGTCTTATTTGTTGGAAGGTAAAAGAACTCTTTGTATGACAATTGAAGAGCATCATTTATAGATTTATCATTTAGTATCACACCATTGTTGAAAAGCATGATGCTTTTGGAATCCTGCATGGTATACACATGAAAATTGCATCAGATAAGAGGAACTAGAGTTACTATTGTGCAAAAGAAGCAAGTGGAGGTTCACATACAGCAGAGAAAACATGTTCTCCAACTTTGGTGCTTCCTCGGCCGTTTCGGGTCAGGTTCTGCCATTCTTACTGGACTGCCACTCCATTCCGATGGCAGTCTGTTTCATAAACACCAAACAATGAGCCACCGATGTTTTTTTTTCCAGGATAACTGAGGAAAGCACAACGAGAATTCATGGAAAGGGAACAATTTACATGGGGAAAGCAAACGAATGAGAGCTGGTAGTGCTACTACTTGATCGCAGAGAATCGCTGCTGGAACATGGTATCTGTCCTGAAAGAGGACTTGTTGTAAACGGACAACAATCGTCATGAGCAATTTCGTTGACAATGCTTTGTCCAGAACCTGTTAGGCTTCTTGACATCCTATCCTCGGTCCTTGATAAACCCTCGGTTTTATGTGGCTGTTGACACCCTGAACCTTGCATAAATTCCTCAAGGCTACTCATGGTATTTAAAGATGGATCAGAAAGATGAATGGTGCTTCCACTCTCGGCTTCCACTCCTCGGTCTTCCGTTGTTTTAGTCACAGATGGTTCCATTGGCTTCAATGTAGCTGAATCTCCTATTTGGAGCTGCATATGCGTTCAATGAATCAAATTCTGAATATTTTTATGTGAGGAATACTCCAAAGAATAATTGAAATATCCATCATTGGAGCATGTAGCTTCTTACCTCTTTCACGTGCCACGTCCAGGATGCCATATTTCTGATGGACTTATCATGCAAGTGATCGTCTCTTCCACCGGAATCTTCTTCACCATCCTTCATTAAGTCCTCGAGAGCATGTCTTTTCCTTACGTATTTCTGAAAATCATGTTCAATCTCATTGGAAATAGAGGACATTATCCCTGGAGGTTTTCCAGGTTTTTCACTTCTATTCAATCGACTCCATGAAGAAACTTCCCTGTCAACGAAGATATCCTTGATTGACTGATAATCACTCTCTTGAATAAAAACAACCAGCTCCGGTGCATCAGATGCGGGAAAGGTCTCACTCATATCATGAACTAAGTTTACTGCCTTTGTTTCTGCTTCACTAGGACTGGCAGTATATGATGCTCTTTGTATCGGATTCTTCCAAGACGTGAAATGGCCAACTCCATCCTTCTCTACTTCCCCATTAACTTCTGAATTGGTCTCTACATTATATGTTCTCATCCCTGCAGAGATTTCAATAGTGTATCAACATGAAGAAATCATCATCAATCCATCAATGAGGACCATCCATTGCTGTAATAATTATCCGAGTATTCAAGAACTCATATCGCACCTACGTAGAGTTCACAAGGCAATCAAACAAGGTAAAAGGAATGCAAAAATTTGCTTCTGCTGGTACTAATTCTTAGCCAAAACAAATTGTTCACTTAAACGTCCAAAGTCGCCTGAAATCAAAGAAGCCAAAATGAACCATGAGAAACAGAGAATTCAGTTCCTCGTACTCTACATTCTCGGCATACATATCGTATCGGCAATCGAATATAGGCATCGGGTTAAATCGAGGATCGCCAGTGGTTTCTATATTCAAGTGAGGCCACTATACCAATTGCTAAGAGACTACAAGTTGCTTTTCACAATAATCAAAGACGAAAAGACTCAACAATCATGAGCCAAAAAAGAAAAACACATCATATGAACGAAAATGGGGAAAAGTAGCTGAATTTGGGTATTCACTGAACAGGAATGAATCAGAAAACTTAAAAGAAAACCCAATGGAGAGAAAAACACATAGATGACAACAAACAAATCACATCACATAAAAATTCTGCAAATTTTCTGCAGTTGTCAAATAAAACTCAAGGATTCAGCAAATGCATGTGGACCAAATGCAATGTTCTCTTAGGAAATTAATCAAACAGTTTGTCCTACATGATGAAAACAATCCTACCTTGAATCAGCCAAGGAAAAACCCAGACTGGTTTTCTGCATTTTCTTCTGCAAATATTCATGAAAACAAGTCATTAATCAAAGAAATATGTATGAACATTAAAAACAAATATATGGAGAGAGAGCTGTGAAAGAGAAACATACAATTGAGCCAAATGGATGTTTAAAAGGAAAGAGGCAGTCCAAGAACGAGAAGAAAAAGCAAAAAGGTTGAGAAATAAATGGACAGCTCAGAACATTAAATATCAATAAGACCATAAATTCAAACTCAGTAACCATAAACTTCCAATTTGTAAACATAAACGTTTTGTCATTTCTCTTCATATGAACAACGTTACAAAGGGTATGATGATCTTTCCATAAATGAAAAAGATGAAATTTTGACCTACTGGTAAAATCGAGTGTTGTTTTATCTAGCATTTTTGGATTTGAACATTTGTGTCTGTAAGTACTACATGTGATTGTTTTAAATTCTAATCAGATACTATCTTATAATCATCTTAGACTATTAAAAATAGTATAATTCGAATCTAAACTTGTTAAATGAATACTATAATTTACAATTTTACACACATATATATATAAGGAAACTAGGTCACTTTCCATATTAGATATATGTGATTTGTTGAGTTGGAGATAGAAAAGGTTTTTAAAAGATTTGGGTGTCATCATAATCTGGGGGATTATTCTGCAAAATACTATTTTGTTATTGTGGAGATATACCAGCTAGTTGGTTCCACTTACCTATAAAAAGGATAAATATTGATTAACTTACCCTTTTGAAAGATTAAGGATAAATATTGAAAATACATATAAAATTTAATCAAATATGTAATATAAGATATGAATTTGATTTTGTATTATTAAATATATAAAATTTTCTATGTCAATATATATATATATATATATATATATATATATATATATAATTTTCACTTAATTTGTTTATCATAATGTGACATATAAAATAAAGTAATATTGCATATTCAATAAAATTTATAAGGACTCTTAGAGATGGTAAATGAACGGGTTCAAGGTAGGGGTGTTCATTTTTTGGTTTTAACCGAATTAATCGACCGAATAGAATTAGTTCGGTTAATTCAGTCGGTCACCGAATTTGTTCGGTCGGGGAACGGTTAATAATTTTTTTAGAATTTGGTTAACGGTTAATTCGGTTCAAAATCGGTTAATTAACTGAATTAATCGAATTAGCCGAAATTAAATTTTAAATTTTAAATATTAAATATATAACATATGGGCTCAGCCCAAACCATTTAAAACTCAATTAATAATTTAAGATCCAATAACTTTTAAACCTAAATCAACATTAATTAATTAAAAAATCCATATAAAATTTTTATTTTATAATTATATATTATTTAAATTAATTGTAAATTGTTTTTTGAATTAAAAAATATTCAATTTTTATATAAATTAGGAAATTTTAAAAATAATCGGTTAATTCGAAAATTAATCGAATTAACCGAAATTTATTCGGTTCGGTTAATATTTTCAAAAAAAAAAGTTCGATTCGGTTAACGGTTAAAGAAAAAAAAAGTTTGATTAATTCGGTTAATGATAATTTGGTTCGATCGGCCATCATTTTAACCGATTGAACACCCCTAGTTCAAGGAGCTCAAATTAAGTACAAGATATGGTTAAATTATTATATTTATATTTTTAATGGATAATATTAATTATTTAACGATGATAAAAGATTTTACGTTAGTGATGTAAATTTTAAGAAAGTTATATTAAAAATCTATAAATGTGAATACACAAAATTTTAGGAAGTATGACATTTTGTTTTTGAATTTAATTGTCAAAAATAAATATAAAGAAAATATTTAAATTAAACAAAATTTTAAAATTTTCCTTGACGCCCCTCTTTATCCTTCCATCCATAATTATAAATTTTGGCATGATATAAAAGTTAGGCCCTAACATCTATTAAAGTGGTTATTTTAATCCTTTTTTAGTATTTTGATCTCTATTATTTTATTTTAGGCAAAAGAGTTCTTAGTATTCGACCAAATGATTACTTTGACTCTTATTCTTTTTTAAAGCATTTTTGTCCTCAACGTATCATTTTAAGATAAAAAAAATCTTATTTTGTAACATTTATTGTGTATTAACTAATGATTTTCATCCATAGAAGAGTTTTTTCCCCTAAAATAAAATGTTAAAGAATCAAAATGTTGGAAAAAATAATATGGACTAAAGCGACTGTTTTAGTAAATGTTGTGGTCTAACTTTTGTATTATGCCTATAATTTTTTATTTTTTTATATTTTATGGTGGACTGAGTTTAGACTCGAACCACTTAACTTATGCCCAGTCAAAATAAATTTTTAGCGGTGTTTTTAAGCGTCGTTAAAAATTTTATGGCTAAAAAACAAACGCCGCTAAAACAAATGCAACTAAAGGTTTTAGCTTTTAGCGGCATCTTTTTTACAAAAGCCGCTAGAAATTATAATATTTAGCAGGTTTTTTTAAAATGCCGCTAATTATCTTTTCTTTTGTGAAATTTGTTCCTAAAGATGCCGCTAAATATTTTGATATTTAGGGGTGTTTGTTCCCAAAACGCCGCGACGCCGTTATATATCTATTTTGTTGTAGTGAGCAAGGAAATCGATGCGTTTAGCCATCTCCGTTGTCAAATGATTTTCCCACTCTCCAATTCTTCCGTTGCGGAAGAAGACATCATTCGGCATTTCCCATGGCCTGTTCTTCAAAACCTTTCCATTCTTGTTCACTTCCAGATTCCTTAAACTGTCGAAGCTACACATCTTCACGATCTTCTCAACCATCCCTTTCTTCTCTTCCTCCAAGCTGAATCCATGTCCAATGAACTCGGCCAAATTCTTGGTGTAAAACCAAGCATCTTCCATCATGTCTTCGTATTTCAAGAACAAGATCCTGTCTGCCTGTTCCAAGCTTGCGTTCCAATACCCTAAAACACGATCTCAGTAAGGTCCGTAGAATGATTCCCCGTTGCAGAACAGCTCGAATGCCTTGTCGAAATAGATCGGTTCCATGTTTCTCGATGTTGCGAGTTTTTCCTGGAAATGGTACATCGAGACGGTGTCCTTTGGGTCTCGACAGACTTAAACGAGTCGACAACCGGAGGCGGATTCCAGCAGGGAGGAGAAGGGGATATGGGTGGCTATTATTGGGATCACGGCTAGTTATGTTGAACTCCAAGAGGGGGAGACATCCATGCGGCAGCTTGAAATGGAAAGGGTTCGAGGCGGCGGTGGTTCTCTAGACGATGGCGAAAGACAGGGCCTTCAGCCAGGTCGTGCCGGTTTAGGATTTAATTTTAGGTTTAAGTTTTAAGAATTAGAGTTAAAATTTTAGATTTTAAGATTTTAGATTAAAATATAAAGGTTGTATAAAATAAATTCAATATAATTTATGTATCAAATAATAATATACTACCTTATAATTATCTCAAATTATTTAATAAAAAATATATAATGTTTATGATTTAAGTTTTAGGATTTAGGACGATAAAATTTAAGGTTTATGATTAAAATAGACCCCTTACATATAGAATAATAACCTTTAATTAAAAGATGTAGAAATTAAAATATAAGATTATATCTCAACGTAAATTATGCTATGAATTAATTTAAATAAAATAAAACACATAATTTAATTACAATACAACAACAAAACCCTATTCTCATATATAATAGGGTAAGGGGAGGTAGGGTAGTAGGCTGGCCCTAAACGCAAGGTTAAGAGCAGCTTCCGTGGAAGACCTCCAACAGTCAGAAAAATTAAAAATAAAGATAAAATGCAATGCATGTATAAATAAATAAATAAATAAATACATAGTTGAATATTTTTCATATGCAGTCTTCATATGCGCGTCTGTGATGGGGAGTAATCCCTACAAGAATGATACACAGAAGTCAACGATAGCAAGTTACAAAAAGGAATAAAGTTAAATGGGTTAAAACCTAAATTAAGACAACATCACTTCGCTACCTTAGTTCTAAGCGTTCATAAAATCCAATGAAAGAAACCTAAAAAGTAGAAGTAATAAGAATTACTACAAAAGCATTAAAAAGAGGGCAGATAAGTTACACCTTATGACTGTGACCCGCAAGCTCATGTATTTTGCACTATCGAATAATTTAATTTTAGGTGTACAATTACACCCATCAACATATATATTTTTTAATCTTAAATTACCAACAAATTTATAAACAAATGAAGAGTGGAACATAATTAACATTTATTAATTATCCCAACTAACATAAACATGAATGGTTTTAAATTTAGTATGCAATAAACTAGCGACCTCGATAGTAAAATAATTGTTATTATTCTTTGATATCCTGGATTTAAATACCATCAATATCAGTGATGCGAGCATTCAACGTCAAACGAACACCGATGATACATACAATAGTTCTTCAGGTACGGTTGCTGCAGGAGGACTCGTCAGAAATGATAAAAGGGTTTGCAATGAACATCGGTCAAACGAACAGTTTATTGACCAAAATTTGGGGAGTCAAACAAGGTTTAACCATAGCAAAAGAAATAGGTTTTGGAAACTTATTAATAGCTTTGGATGCAAAAGAAATCACAAACGCCATCAGTAGTGGAGATTTGTTTTTAAAATTAATAAAATATTTTAACATTTTTTTTTCATTTTGAATCAAACAAGATAAAATATCAAAATATTTATTTAAATTTATATTTTTTAGTTGGATCTAATATTGAGTTAAAAGATTGACGACTGATCGGCCTAAAATATTAAAAAAAAGTTTAAAATTAATCAATAAATTGATTTTCCAAAAAACTTTATTCGATTATGAATTAAAATTAATTTGATCATCTATCAAATAATCGTGTCTAAAATTACCGGATCGTTGGGAATAATAATTGTTTTTTTAACTGTGGTATAAGGGTTTATTAGTAGGATGGCAAACGGGTACAATTTCGTAGATTTCGTACTGTACCCGCTTCAATTGGAGCGGTAATGGGTATAGCTTTAGTAGGTAGTGGGCCGGTGTGGATTTAGAAAGTGGTAACCATCGTGCAGGGCCGTCTTGTAAATTTTGGTGGCCCTATACCATAACAGTAAAATAGACCTTTTAAAACTAAAATATTATTTAGTGTGGGCATTGAATTTGAAAATTCTTTGGCCAAATATCCTAAATACGCTTATATACAAAAGACTTAAAAAAAATTGGAGGCCCTTACAAAAATTGGGCCCTGTGCGGTTGGGCAGCCCGCACAGGCCCAAAATCGGCCCTGCCATCGTGGGTATTAGGAGGGTGATGGGTTTGAGACCTTACCCGCCCCTCATCTGTCCGCCTACTAAATACTCATTAAATTTTGGACCATTATGAATTTAGGTATAATTTTAGAGACTAATTTATAAATCTTAATATTGTATAAGATATAACTTATAATTTATGTACTTTAAGATCTATGTTAACATTTAACTCAGATAATCCTTGATTTATTTTATTATACTTCTTAATGGACGTGTTTGTTTTATGTTTGTTGCTTATGTATAACTTAAAGTTGTTGTCAAGCGGGTCTAGTCGAATACGTCTCCAGTTGGGTAGTAGGTGTGGGGATAGATTTGAGAATGTACCCGCATGGACGGGTGTGGATTTAAAAAAAATTATCTATCATAGGTGGTGGGCGAGTGGTGAATTTGAAAATATTAAATGGGTATGGGGATGAGAGAGGGGTATCCGCACCTTACCCGCCCCTTTGTTATCCCTATTTATTAGTGGTAAATAGTTGTGCTACGTGTACTAGACAAAATAGCTGCATTTGTTGCATAGCACATGCCCCTCAAATGCACAGTAGTTAATTTTATATTTTATAATATTTTATCCTTTCATATATCAAAACAACGCTACTTAATAGTTACATCCCCGGTTTGCACATGCAAGTCACATCACAGTATGTGACATGCATGTATGTTTATTACATCTTCAGATTACACATAAATACAAGTCGCATATCGGTTTGCGCTATGGATGCATGCATATTACATCACCAGATTACACTTAGTACAAGTCACATATCGGTTTGTGCCATGCATGCATGTATAATAAACATATACATACATACATACATATGTTTATATATATATATATATATATATATATATAAATGCATTAAATTCTCATGCTAAAGAAGGTATATATTTTTACTTGCTTTTAGATATTCAAGATGGGCGAATCATACATGGTGGGAATAGCACATTGGAGTCACGATGTGGTGGACTTGGATTACCTTCCTCTTCTCTTTCATTGCTCCTTGCTTCACACGTGCCTCTGCACAATGGTTTGACGTGAATTAGAACCATGTTATTGATATATGACATCAGGGATGAATATTTAGATATGGTCATAGGAATCGTGTTCGGATCCATCGGATCGTTAAAACCTGATGTTCAGGGAGTGCATTGGCTGTGGCAGAAGCATGGAGGAAGAATCCTGCGAATTGTTTTGTAGTGCCTGCTGGACAGTGACCTTCTCCTTCTCCTTCTCCTCCTCCTCCTTTACCTTCTTGGCAAGGATATTATTCTGCGCTTGCAATGCTTTATCCTGCATACATGGAACATGTCAATCAAGCAGTCTCTATCCGAAAATACATATGATTCCATGCAAATCCATACCTTTTTCTGAAACTCGGAGATTGATTCAAACATGAACTGATTCTGCAAATCAAAGATTTTCAAGGCCAAATCATAAAGGGCCAAGTGCTTATTTAATACTATATATATATATTGTGCAAGTGTTTTTTACCCTTTTTGAGAGTGTGCTTAAGGGCAGAATCAAGCTGTTGCTCCAAGTTTTGAAGCTCCTTAAGGCTCAAATTCTCAAGATCTTGCCCCATACAATGCCTTTAAAAGTATTACAAACAAACTTGATTTCTACTTTGCATGGTGAAAAATAACCAAATACTAGAAGTTTTGGAATCAATTCGACACCTTTGGTTTCTTTGTAAGACCTCCATCCTGGCTTTGAGTTTTGCATGCTCCAGGGTCCAGCTCCCCTGTATAAACACCTTGAAATTATGCACCTTAAACATGCTTCATTCGATACGAATATGTTCATATCGACTCTAATATAACAAGCATGAAACTTTCCAGGAAATTTGTGAAATGATGTGGTGGGGTGGGGTTTACATTTTGTTCAGTTTCATGTGCAGCAAGTTGCCTCTCTGCATAAGAAAACCTTTCATGCCGCTCAAGGATCCTCTCCATACTGCACAACAGATCAAATGATGATTTATGGAACCCTCGACCATAAACAATTATCAAAAATTAAAATTGATGAAAATGGTTGAGAATGATTCTCTCTCAATGGGAGACAGGGGCGGACCCAGGGGGTAGCCAGGGGTTGCCCGGGCAACCCCTCAAATTGTGAGAAATAAAAATACCCTCAAAAGACCCGGCCATTTTTATTTCCTTTGCGGCGTCCCAGGACACTGTCAAGCCGGCCAGAAAGTCGATGTGTTGGTTAAACCGTCATCCAAAGGCCCAGCCGCAAGTCCTAACCCTTCTACTTTGAGTTCGTCTCCTGCAAACTCACCATCGGAAATGGTGAATGCACCTGGCCCTGCACAGAGCAGTGCCCTGTCTCCAGGGGCGGACCCCGGTAGCTAGGGGTAGTCCGAACAATTCCTAAATTTTTATCCTGGGTCCGCCCTTGATGGGAGACTGTTACGTCTCTAAAAACATATCTAAACACGATTGAAATATGGACTCCAAAATTCATTTGAAAAAGGGAAAGAGAGAGAGAAACAGTAAGAACAGAGTAAAATGGCAGAGAGCAACGTATCAACAACACTTGCCATGCATGCATTTCATGCACAGATGTGCCTAGTGGGACCAAAGACATGTTAGCCATAGATAGACAAGTAATATCATTAATAGTATTTTACTATTAATATAATAATAAAATATTGATTATAAAAATATAATAATAATAAAACAAGTGTTATTTTATACAATTGTGCTGGAAAAAAAAAAGTGAATTTCATAAATTAAATTCATATTGTTTTTTGAACATTATAAATTAAAATATATTTTTAATCTGGATATTAGTAGGATAATCATTCTTTTAATATGTCAAATTGAAAGATATTTATTATTTATTTAACTTTAAATATTAAAGATAATTATATATTTTTGAATATTTTAAATTAAAATCCTTTTAAGTTTCAACAATTTTTTTTATAAGTTTTAAAAGAAGAAGAAAAATTCTCTATTAACTTTTCGGTGATAGACGAAGACAATGATAGTTTGAGATCTCTATTGTTGTGCTATTATAGCTGATCATCTTGTTATTTTATTTTGGGAAACATACGACTAACAATCGCGAGCACCAAATGAGTAACTGAAAATTTATCTTAAAGCTACAAGCCCCAACCATTTCCGTTCAAAATATCAAAATAGAAAAGTATATTTTGTATTTATTTTACTTTAATTTTTTGTCTCGAATTGTTATATTGCATAACAATCTTAAGACAGAATATTATCTCATTATTCTACCTTTATTAATTCGAGATGATTCGGAAATTGTGAGAAAATCGATATAGCAAATAAATTTATTTCAGGATTTATCCAGCCGTTTTAACGGGTTCGTTAGAATCTCATAGCGAAAAAATTTGTTTCAACGAAATTGTTGTGAAAATAACTATGGTTACTGATTTTGTTACAAAACTTTGATTGTGTCCGACAACAAAATAGAAAATAATTGAGAATTAATTTTTTATTAGAATTTTTGATTTCGTATTTGGAATCAATTGGGATTGTAATTCTATCCCTTAACAAAATTATCTGATTACTATTTATAATAGAAATCTTTTGAAAGTAACGACTTTGTTACTAACTTAGTTTCTAACTAAATTTTGCCGGTGGAATAAATCAGAATTTAATTTTGGTTTATTGTTGGAATTATTATTAATTCTAGTTTCTTGTTTAACAAAATCATGATTGTCGGTGGTCATGAGTCACGAAGAGAAACTTATAAAACTCTATGGATATAATTTCAAGATATGACAACATAAGATGTTTTATTTGGTCATGTTAAATTTGATCATATATCGGACGATCCTCCTGTTATTAGGGAGGATTCTAACTTTTATGTTATAACTACATCCTAAATAGATTGTCAAAAACATAATATAATTTGTATAATATCCATAAGATGAAAAAAAATTAATTATGGATGACAGTAGATCATAAATACGAAACAAAAGATGCTGACACTAAGAAAATTTTACTGGCTAAATTCTTAAAATTCGTAATAAGGACACAGATGAGAGGAATAAATATTTTATCACCTCCATTGATGATAACAAAAGTATTGTTATATGTATTTACTAAAAGAGAAAAAGCAAAATTATAGAGAAATTTATTTTCTATAAACATGAAGTTGAAAACCAACGTAATAAATAGAATAAGATGATAAGAAGTGATAGTGGTAGTGAATATGTTAAACCATTTTGCACAACATGATATTATTCATGAAGTGACATCATTATATTATCCTAAAATAAATTGAGTAGCAAAGAGAAAGAATTGAACAATAAAAAAATGATGAACGAAACACTACGAAGTTCTGAGTTGTCACAAAACATGTGGTGGAGAGGAGAACTTCTGTAAACTAATTACTTTTTAAATAAGGTTCCCACGAAAAAAGGACATAGCACCATATGAGTTATGAAAATGTTGAAAACTTGCGTAATACAAACACTTGAAATTGTGGGGTGTCTTAATAAGGTAATGTTCATATTACCAAAATAAAAATAAGTCCTAAACGATGGATTATATATTTTTACCATCTTACCATCTCAGGATGATAAATCAATGCTAGTTGAAATTTGATATTCAAGATATCAATGGCACAAAGTGAATATGTTTCACAATGAGAGGAGAAGTTGTGTCATGGAAATGTTTAAAAACAGTTATAATCATATTCATAATGGAGTTTGAGTTCGTAGCTTTAGATAAGTCTGAAAAATAAACCAAACGACTTCAGAATTTCTTGGATGATATTTTTAAATGGTTGAAATATGTGCCTACAGTGTGCATATATTGTGACTATCATAGAATTTCAAGTACAATGGTAAGTCGAAACATATGTGTTGTCGACATAATACAATAGACATTCGATCCCAAATGAAGTTATCTCTATCAATTTTGTAAGATCAAATGATAATATTACGGATTCACTAACCAATGGGTTAAATCGAGATCAAGTTGAAAAAAATATCTAAAGGAATTAGATAAAACCCATGAAATTTAAAGGCGTTATGTGAAGGAAAACCCTACCTTGTTGACTGAAGATCTCAATATCAAGATTAAAAGGGACAAACTAATTGCATACAATGTACATTCACTATGGGGGGTATCTCATCCCAATTTTTTCCTATGATGTAAACAATGATTAAATTGGTATAGGTTAAACAAAACTTTTAATGGTCATTGTGTGCTTCGGTTAGCCTATAACACCCCGAAAATCGGGTTAATAGTTTCGGGTATTATCATTGAACTTAGAGTGCTTATATAAGACTAATTTAATCAATTGGATCAAAATGAAGAGGATTGGACATTTAGAAAATCGCATAAGATATTAAAAAGGGTATTTTTGAATTAAGGCAAAAAGGGGAATGACTAAGGCAGCAATTTACCTCAAAACTTTTGAAAGGTTGAATCTCTCTTAATTGTCGGTGATGTCAACGTGGGAGAAAGCTGAAAATCTCTTAATTGTAGGAAAGCGAAATTATAGATAAATTATTTTACCCCTTCAAAATATTTAGAAAAAACATTTTATCATCTAAAAGTGTTAAAATTACATATTAATATATATTTATAAATTATATTGATATTCTCAAAATATAAATTTTATTTATACAACTTAAATTTTCATAAACATAGACCACAAATATGTGAATTTAAATGTATTTTCTAAAATATTAACTTCTCATACAAGTAAAAGCTTCAAAATTAATAATAGGCGTGTAAATGAACACGAACGAAGGCGTGTTCATGTTCGTTCGTTTAGCTTAGCCGAACAACCGAACGAACATGAACAACTAAACAAACAAAATATTTTGTTCTTGTTCGTTCATTAAGAAGCGTAATTTGTTCATGTTCATTTATGTTCGTTCATTAACGAGCACAAATGAACGAAACACAAACGAATGAACATAAACAAACGCAAACGAATATAAAATTAATCGGATTTATATTTGAGAAGAGTTTTTTATTTTCAAATAAGTTTAGGGTTTATATTTTCTTTAATTGATTTGGGTATTTTTATTTGGGTTTAAAATTAATTAGATTTTAAAATATTAATGGATTTAAGGTTAAAATTTATTAGGTCTGAATATTTTAAACATGTTTGGGGATTGGGTTGAATATAAATGAAAGTAAACGAACGAACATAAATGAACGAACATAAACAAACGGATTACCGAACGTTCGCGAACGTAAATGAATGAGCGAGCATTTTGTTCTTGTCCGTTTAATAAATAAACGAACTTCTCACGAAAAATTCGTTGAACGTTCGATTCATTTATCGGAGTAACTTGGGTTTAAAATTAATTAGATTTTAAAATATTAATGGATTTAAGGTTAAAATTTATTAGGTCTGAATATTTTAAACTTGTTTGGGGATTAGATTGAATATAAACGAACATAAACGAACGAACATAAACAAACGGATTACCGAACGTTCACGAACGTAAATGAATGAGCGAGCCTTTTGTTCTTGTCCGTTTAATAAATAAACGAACTTCTCACGAAACATTCGTTGAACATTCGATTCATTTATCGGAGTAACTGATAAAACATTAATAAGATATAATTTATATATACACACGCGCACAACTTGGTCTTTTTCTTAGATTTTCGTTTTTAATATTATTTTTATTTCTCAAATCATAATTCTTTTGATTTTCCTCTATTTTCCACTGTATTTTTAGATAAAATTTTAAAAATACATTGAAGGATGATTTTTTTCTTACATTTTTTAATCCATGGAAATTGAAAATTTTCAACAATCCCACTTAATATAACACTTTTAGTCTCCTATTTTATTCTATAAATAAATATAAATTTCTACTAATTCACTCAAATTATTTTATGAAGTGAGCGTTAAATTTACTATTATTATTGTATTTTATTTTCTTTAAGCAGCGGATTTATCGGCAAACACGACATAAATCTGCATACCACGCATATGATTCGATAGACAAAGTTATCATTAACATTACATTGGATGATTCAGCTCTCACAATAAGACATTTATTTCCATAAAACTGACACTGTCCCATCCATCACATCCCACTGTTCACCTTCAAAGGAGAAAATCTCAGATTCAATCTGATTCACACAGAATTCTCGAGAGAAGTCAAAAATTGTAGGGCTATGAAGGACGAACCCTATTCACTTCCCACTCCACCCATGGCATCAAGGGAGTAATAATAAACCAACCAGGTGAATGTCCATCATTTTCACGTGTAAAATATTTCATCTTCCTCGTAAGAACCTTGTAAAAAGATGTCTTAGATTGGATAAAAACACTAGGCTCCTGAAAGGGTTGGCAGTGGAGTTACCCATTTCTACTTTCTAAAAATAGTACCCAAAGGTTAATAGCCATAAGTTTCCTAACAACAATCCCCAAACTTTCCCTAAAATGATGCATGCTTTGAGGTTCAAGCAGCCTAGTCATCGCATGCAGTAGAATCTAACAGTAATTGAATTAGGTTCAGATGAAAAAAATCAGTGGGGAAATAAAGGGGGGATCCGAAGGGGTACCAGGAACCAGAAGAGTATTCAAAGAGCTTCCCCTTGGTGGAGAAGACAATCAAAGCGACCTCCGCATCGCAAAGAACAGAGATTTCATGGGCTTTCTTCAACAACCCAGACCTTCTCTTGGAGAAAGTGACTTGCCTGTTGATCTTGTTCTCGATCCTCTTCAGCTGAACCCTACCCCTCCCCATGCTGAGAACCCAGAAAACTTCAATTACAAGGGCAAAAAGAATAAGCCAGAAAAAAAAGAGGATGATTGGGTATGGAATATATGGCTTTCTTTTTTGCTCTAGGTATCTTTTAATCGGCGTTTTACGGAAATATCACCTGTACCATAAATAATTATCTATCAGACACACTCACCTTTAATATTATCGATCTAGCACTCTTTATAACACCGTGATAATAAAGTGTAGATAGTCATTTGCGCTTTGAGGGGTTCTGTCCGAGTTAACGTCACGTAATGAAAGACATGGATCGTAATACGCGCCTTCGCGGGTTCTGTCCGAGCTGGCTCCACGTAAGGAAAGGGGCGGATGGCGATAATCGTTTTCGCGGAGTTTCTGACACGTATGGAAGGCGCAGATCATGATTCGTGCATTTCATTATGCACGTTGAATTATTGATACTCCATAATTACCCGAGCCTGAAAGTTCGGCTTTTAAACCCTCTCTCTCCCCTATAAATAAGAACTCCTCTGAATGCAAACATTGCCAAACCAAAATTACTTGCTTATTTTCGTTTCCATCAATTCATTCTATCAAGCTAAGTATATTTTATTATTGTTTTTATAAGGTAAAATTATATTTTATTATATTATAATCATTTTATATTTAATTATTTGAACAAATTGTATTTTACTAATTATTCTGTATAATTTTTTGCAGTTGTAAAATTAAAAAACGGGTTAATACCTCGAGATATTTTACCGATACAGAAACAATATGAAATTATGTTATTTAAATTATTGTAAATTTTTTTAAATTATTTGGATTAGTTTATATTTTAATTCATATATTATTTATTTAATTAGGTGTATTTCATTTATTGTTTTTGCATATATAAGACTTTCAGTCTTTAAAACTCTCAAAATGATGCGTATTTCAGCTATTGTTTACTATGACGGAGAAATTCAGGAAGATGAAACTAGATTTATCTTCGCATCAAATCATTCTATCAGAATATCCTTCAAGAGAAATATCACTCTTAAGGAGTTGATAACTAAAATTTCAAGGAAGGTTCATATTGGAAGTACTAGAAGACTGTCTTCACTTCAATATAGATTTTCAACTGCAGTATTTATGTTAACTTATACATCATTTGAACTCTCCAACGATGACGATGTTGTTATGATGGTTGATTCTTAGAATCAATATTCAGGCATTGATACACAAATATATGGGACATTTGTTCATGTTCATGGTATGTCATTATGCTCCCATTCTGGGTTGGCTCAACAAGTTGATCAAGTTGACAACCTAACTTAAGTAATGTGTAATGATTTAAACTCGTTAATGGGAAATCCACATCATGGTCCAATCTTATCAAGTTCAATAGGGAGACATTCATCATAACTTGTTACGATCTATACCAAGGTGGCTCCACAAACAATTCGCATGGCAACATCGCTTCCAATTCAAGGGAAAGACTTTCATCTGCCAATTTCTTTGACCTGAATATGGAGATGCCCTTGACACAGTAATATGTGAAATACTCATTTGAGACGATGCATTCAAGTTCAAGGGGAAAACATTCAACTGTGAGCTTATTCGAACTCAATGTCCAAATGCCTTCAAGTTCAAGGGGAAGACATTCAACTACCAGCTTGTTCGACATAAATGTCGACATCATGAAGGAACCCTCATCTCTACCAAAAGAACCTCTTCGGGAGCCAAGTGTGAATGGTGCTGAGATTGAAATATTCGTTCAACCAGAATCATTGTAATTCAACATAGACTCGATGATGATGATGTAGATGAAATTTCAACAAATACGGTAGACACCGAAACTCTAGCACTCATGTATGAAGCTGACTATAGTGCAATGTACATGCCAGAATTTATGGATATGCCTAATGTCGGTGACTACAAATTTAACTCATCAGTCAATGATGGAAAGTTATATAAAGTAATGGAGTTTCCATGCAAAGAAGAAGTGATGATGGAAATTAAGAGTTACAACATTCGTAATTATGTTCAGTCCAGAGTGAACCGTTTTACCACCGAAAAGTATGTCTGTCACTGTGTCCAACGTGATAACGGATGCAATTAGATAGTTTACATATCGAAAAGGAAGAGGAAAAACAATATATGGGAACTAATATATACAACAGTCCTCACACATGTTGTACTAGAGGGACCAACCAGGATCATCCCAACTTGGATCATCCCATCATGCCCATGGTCAAAGCAAGCTCTTATATAGCTATTACAGTATTGATTTCAGCTATACAATCGCAATATGGGTATACCATCTCATACTAAAAAACATGGATGGCAAAGCAGAATGCCATTAAAAAACTTCACGACGAGTAGAATGCATCGTACAACGAACTACCAAGTTGGTTTACAGTGGTGCGTAGATTAAATCCTGAGACAATTGTCGACTTCGAAACTTGCCATGTATACCACAATGATCGAGTGCTTCCCGATCGATATCAGTGCATTAATGTTGTGAAATACTATAAACTCGTGGTCCAAATTGATAGGACATTCAATACAAGCAAGTTTTATTAGTATTAGTTGTCCAATATTGTAATCACAATATTCTTCGAGTTGTTTTATCCCTTGTTGAATGAGAAGATACAGATTCTTGAGCTTTTTTCTAACTTACGCTTACATGTTGTCATGAGGGAAAAAATCTATGTCATTTCATATCGCAAAGCTGGGATCAAAGTAGAAATGAATTCTTTGGGTCCAATGTGGCAACCACCCTATGTTCAACATTGGTACCGTATCTGACACATTGTTGCTAACTATCAATGAAACGTTCAAGAAGAATGATGATCACCAGTTACTTGTGCGCATATGTATGTTAAAATGATGTTTTTTATTTCTCAATCATTTTTCATTTTTTATGGAAACATAACAGTAAGTTCTACATTTGATGCTGAGGTTGCTTCAAGATTTGCGAGGAAATAACGAGGAATGATACAATTACATCAATCTCATCAATAAAGAAATGTGGACAAATGTATATGATAGTGGATATTGATATGGGCACATGACGAACAACTTGGCTGAGGCTGACAATTCGACCTTAAAGGGGCACGCCATTTACCAGTAACGACTTTGGTTAAAATGACTTTTTTTTTGTTTGGGAGCAGTTTTTGTTAAGCTCGGGGGACATGCTCAAACTTATATGCAAAACGGTAATGTTTATCACCGAAGACTAGTTACAGATATAGAAAAAAGAATTGTTGCATCAAATGAAATGTTTGTAACAATATTCTCTAGAACCCCAAGTTATTTCTTGTCACAGAGATATCGCAACCTATTCAAGGGATTCAAGCTAATCCATTCAGAGTTAATCTATGAGACAAATGATGTGATTTTGGGTTTTTTAAAGCTCTGAAGTATCCATTCTCTCATATCATAGAAACTTGCTCTCATACCAGTTAAGACTATAACCATTTTGTGGATCTCGTATACCAACTTCCAAAAATGTTTAAGGTATATGAATTTGATTTCCCCCATAGGTAATGAGAAAGATCATTATGAGGTTCAGAATTAGCTTTTGATTGTACCATATATGTCCTACTGAGGAGACCCGTCATCCAAAACCCACTCGAATTCATTGTGATATAGATATTAGGGAAACGTCCAGAAAAAACAAAAGATGTAGGCCGTTGAACTATATTTTGATATAACAATTAAGGCAAACTATTTTTAGACTTAAATTGAATTTATTCAAAGTTTTCAAAAATAATTCGAAGTCCTGAAAAGTGAATTTGAGCACAAAACAGTTTCAAGTACACGAAGTACCGATATTGTTCTTACAGTATCGATACCTCATGAACAATACCAATACTATTCATATGGTATCGATATCAAAGGTAAGGGAAGTATCAATACTCACTAGGTAGTATCAATACTACCAGCATTGCTCAAATTCCAGAATATAAAAATGGTACCGATATCCAAAGGGGTACCGATATTACTTTATATAGTAGTATCGATACCATAGACATAGTGTCGATACCATCAGGCCCCAACAGCTAGTAACGACTAGTTGATTTAAAAATAACAAACGTAATACTGATACTCCCTTTAGGAGTATTGATACTCCCTTTAGGAGTACTAATACCCTCTGTACTGGGCAGTTTTATTGTGCACGAAAATTTATCTCCAACAGCTCCAGAACGCTTCTAACGGCTAGAAATAGTCACAACAACATTCTGACATATAAATACAAGTTCAAGACACTTGAAGAAGGGTTAGAACACCTATCCAATAAATCAAACACAAGAGGAACACATATCCAATAAATCAAACACAAGAGAAGAATTTTACATTCTTATTTTTCTATTCTCTTGTAAATATTGTGTTTTAGTGAGCTTAAATTTATAAACACCTACCTTGTAAGGATTTTCTTGTTTACACTATCTTTCCTTTTGTAAAAGGGGTTTGGTTCTAGTTTAGCCAAGTGAAAACTAGGGAGTGTAAAAGTTATCTCTTTGTTCTTGAACAAGAAAGAACAAATTAGTGAATTTGTTAGAAAATCCTTAGTGATGAGCTAAGGTAGTGGAAGTAGACTTGGTTGATAAGTCGAACCACTATAAATCCTTGAGTCAAATTTCTCTATCTTTTACTTTCCTTACTCCCTAAACAAATTATTACCAATTCACCCTCTATCAAATTTTTCGGTTATTCAACTTGAGCCTTTTCGATCATAACAATTGGTATAAGAGCTTGACTTGTTAGAAGGTATCACATCCTTGAGACAATCCTAGAAGAAGCTCTACTAATTCCCGACGCAACCTATAAATAGATGGCTTCAACCTCTGGTGCCTACTACATTAAAGTTTCACAATCGGTCAACAAGCTACCATAATTCAATGGAGCAAATTATGTCTATTGAAAGAATAAAATGATGCTCTTCATTTAATCCAACGATCTAGGATCTTGGAACTATATCATGAAAGGATACACCATTCCAACCGCCGAGATGGATGATTGGAGTAATGAAGAGAAGAAAAAGTTCTAACTCAATGCTAAAGCTATGCACATTCTCTTTTGTGCATTAGGCTCAGATGAATATGGAAGAGTCTCTTCTTGTTCCAATGCCAATAAGATATGGGATAAGCTCAAGGCCACTCATGAAAAAATCGATAAAGTGAGGAAAACCAAGATAAATCTTCTCAATAATAGCTACAATAATTTCAAGATGAAACCCGATGAAGACATCAAAGGTATGGCGGATAGATTTTTTGTGATTGACAAAATATAAAGAGATTTTGAGAAGTAATCCCTAACGAGAAGCTTGTGAGAAAGATAATATACTCTCTTTCAAAGTCTTGGCAATCGAAGAAGACGGTGATCATTGAGGCTAAGAATATAAAGTCTCTCACTCTCAATAAGTTGATTGGTTCTCTTATCACTCATGAGTTGATATTGAAAGAAGAGAAAGATGATGAAGAAAAGAATGACAAGAAGAATGAAGAATGAAGAAAAGAAGAAAAAGGTAGGCATTGCCTTCAAATCCACTAATGAGAGCTATGAAGATTCAAATGAAGAGGTGGATGAAGATGATGATGAAGAAAAAGAGATGGACAATCTCTTCAAAAGATTCATCAGATTCATGACTTCCAAGGAAGTGAAGCATGAATCGAGCAAGAAGAAGAGTCTTCTTGTGTGCTTCAATTATCAAATAACGGGGCATGTCAAGTATAAATGTCCCCTCCTAAAGAAGAAATGATCATCCAAGAAAAAGGTATTTGTGGCAGCTTGGAGTGATGAAGATGACTTCAATGATGAAGATGAAGTAGCCAACCTATGACTCATGGCCATCGAAGAAGAATCAATGGTATCTTCTAACTCAAATGATTTAAATTCACATTCTTTTGATGAGTTACAAGATGTTTATAATGAGTTGTATTTGGAACTTGAGACCATGAATTCAAAATATAAGAAATTAATTTCAAAATTTAAAGTTGAAAACGATTTGATTTTGAAAGCAAAAATTGATTTTGAAAGTCAAAATGAAATTTTGAAAAATGATTTAGAATTTTCAAAAGTCAAAATCAATGATTTAGAAAAAGAAAATTTTGATTTGAAAGTTAAGATTTATAACTTAACAAAAGAAAAAGAATTAATTTCTAGAAACAACTCATTATGTTTAAAAATGTCAAAATATTCACATTGTCATTTTCATGGTCATATGGAACATGCTTGTCCTATAAAGAAAAGAAAATCTTTTAAAATTAGACAAGTATGGGGTTCTTAAGGGAACAAGGGGCATTGAAACTAACGTTCAAAGATCCAAAGTAATTTGGATATCGAAATATACTTAAATGTCTCTTGTAGTTGTGTGGGAGTAATGATGATGAAAATGAAGAAATCCAGATGCTCTAGCCATACTCTAAAATGAATGGGTAACCTTTAAGCTTAAAGGTTTTTTTTTTTTTGCATAATTGGTTGCTAATTTGATTTATGCATGCATGAGTTTTTTTAACTTAAATGATTTTATGTTGATTTTATATCTCATGTATGTAAAAAAGGTGTCATGATGAACATTTTAAAGTTTTTAATAATTTTTCATAATTTTTAGTTCATCATAATGAATTTTGGTCAAAATTGGGTTTAAATGCTAATGATATATCTCTAACAATTGATGTCAATTTTCAAAATGCTTTAATTTTAAACATTTTTAAGTTTTTGACCTAAATTTAAATGTTTATGCATGTAATTTAAAAACACAAATGATATCTCTCTAACAATTGATATCCAAATTTTCAAATGCATAACATTTTTTGAAAGCTTTATGCATATGCACTTAATTTCAACATTTGGTATTGCATAAAGTATTTTAGACTTTGATATAATGAATTTCATGTGTTACTAACATGTTTGTTATTCTTTGTTGAAATTCAATTATGTTTAAGTGTCAAGCTCTTAAAAGTCGAAATTTTGTTTGGAATACACTTTTTGAGGGGGAGCTTTGATTTTTCAAATGTTTTTAATGACAAGTTTATCACTTACTCTCCAATGTTATTTTAGCACTTTAAAGT